GAGCATTGAGAGGAAATGAAGTGGTGAGACAAAGAATTGCAAAACAACAAATAATTGAGGGGTTCCAGTCGCCTCTGTGGATCCGTTCCGCCCAGAATGGACTGGGCGAAAAGGTGATTAAAACAACAATTAATTTCTCAGCGGGACTCGAATTTTCATTTTTACATACGCTTGCATGTGAAGTAGATGTAGCCCGAAAAAGGCTGTCTTTTAAACCCGTCTATTATGTCTATTGTATTGGTTGAGCGTTCAGCTCATACATCCTTAAGGGCGCTTTTATCCTTCTAGATGGGTTGGTATGTCGGCCTCATGAATGCAAACCTTGTAACAACATATTCTAGAAAGAGGGCATGAGAATTCTCGAAAGATGCAACTATGCTATGCAACTCGCATTCTTCACGTAGTTACAAGACGATAACTCGGAATCCTCTTCAGCATAGCAGCCTGCTGTACAATTGCAAATTGCGATAAGTCTTTATGGAAGCAAATACCTATATTAGTGGTAAGGTTGTTGCTACTCAACTCTCTGGCTCCAACCTACCAGTCGCATTTACTGCCTCGCAAATTGTCAAAATTTCTCGAAGGCTGAGACCGCCAGGAACGGAAGTTCCAGTGCTGGGTGCGTAGACCGGATCCAAGGCGTCAATGTCGATGCTCAGGTGAATGGGTCGATGGAGCCTACAAAAGTGGTGAAAAACGAGAATAGGTTGATAACCTGCAATAAGTAGCTCCACATCGAGAACTATCCTACCATCTTTAGTATGAACTGTGGTCACCCTAGGCTGCATATGAAGATGAAGAAGTGATAGCTAAATTTTCCCCCAACCATGTGAGCACTAGCCCACAAAAGGTATTCTTAGCTCGTTTGGACTGGACTGCAGTTTTGACGTCGTACGAGCTGGTTTCGTCAGCACACCCAAAGGGGAAAAAACTCATGTTATGGTGGGGAAGCATATATTTTCGATCTGCCATCACTACGTCACGCTGCTAAAGGTGACAGATAAGACGACATTTTCAAGGCAAACTTGACCGTTCCCATGTCACATCTGTAGTAATCCTACTACTTATATTTTGCTGTTACAATCGACTATATTACTACATTTCGAGTTGAGTAGGATTTCGAGAGTATCAGTCGCTTAAAGTGATAGTGGATGATAGTGAATTTTCCCACATGGATGAAATAAAATTTCACCTGAACTTGTCTCAAAAATGTATTCCCATTTAGGATTGACTGCATTTCCCACCTCTTCTGAACTGGTATCATAGGCCTTCTAAACGGGAATCAAAATTGTGTGCCAATCTACAAATGCTGTGGTTCAACATTGAACCTAATCAAAGCAAGCAGAACCACAACATTTGTGGGTTGGAACACAAGAGACTATGGCATAACAAGTCATAGACTTGGTATTAAGGATAGAAAGATGATAGACGCGGTGGCGATGGGAGCTAGGGGGCTGAAAGTTAGTATGTTTTTGCCATAGACGTGGTCCAGGTAGAAAAAGGCGTTTTAGGCTCAAATTAATCACCCAGACGCAGGCGGAGGGCGAATAACGCTTTGAGCA